CTAAATTTCAGAAATATCACATTACCAGATTCAAATTTTCCTTATTCAAAAAAAAAAAAAAACAAGCAAAAAAATGACAAGGCATACAAAAAGCAGAAAAGTAAGATCCAGTCAAAGAAAAAAGTAAAAATGCTTCTGGCCAAGACAGAGATGTAGTTCAATACACTGTGCCTCCTCACACAACCAAAAGAAAGGAAACAACCAATTTAAAAAACAAAAAACAACCAGAACTGCCAGAAAATTGAACTGTTTGGAAGCCTGACAACCAAGGAGTTAAAGAAGAAACATCCATCCAGACCTGTAGGAGGGGCAGAGACAGGCAGCCGGGCAGAGGACTTGAGGCAAAGTGGCAGCTGGTGGAGTAGGCAGTCCCACATTTGCATTCAGATAAACCATGAGGAACAACTGGGGAGTGAGACAGACCATGCAACCCAGGTTCCAGCCCGAGGAATTAAAGCCTCAAAACCTCTGGCTGAAAAAACTTGTGTGGGTTAAGGTGGCAGGAGAAATTCCCAGCCTCAGAGGAGAGTTCATTGGAGAGACCTACAGGGTCCTAGTGTGTACACAAACCCAACCACCTGGGAATCACCACCAGAAGGGCCCACTTTGCTTGTGAGTGGTGGGGGAAGTGATTGAAAGCCAGCAGAGAGTGGAGCAAGATGCACTGTTCCCTCTCAGACCCCTCCCTGACATACAGAGCCACAATGCAATGCTGTGCATTTCCCTGCCCTGGTGAACATCTAAAGCTCCACCCCTTGTCCCATAACAGGTGCACCAAGACAAAGAAATATGGCCCATGTGAAAGAACAGATCAAAGCTCCAGAAAAAATACACCTAAGTGATGAAGAGATAGCCAACCTACCAGATTCACAGTTCAAAACACTGGTAATCAGGATGCTCACAAAAATGGTTGACTATGGTCACAAAATAGAGGAAAAAGTGAAGGTTGTGAAAAGTGAAGTAAAGGAAAATGTACAGGGAACCAACAGTGACGGGAAGGAAACTGGGACTCAAACCAATTGTGTGGACCAGAAGGAAGAAATAAACCTTCAACCAGAACAGAATGAAGAAACAAGAATTCAAAAAAATTAGGAGAGGCTTAGGAACCTCTGGGACAATTTTAAGCATTCCAACATTGGAATCATAGGGGTGCCAGAAAGAGAAGAGGAAGAGCAACAAGTGGAAAAGTTATTTGAACAAATAATGAAGAACTTCCCTGACCTGGCAAAGGAAATAGACTTCCAGGAAGCTCGGAGAGTCCCAAAGAAGTTGGACACAAGGAGGAACACACCAAGGCAATTCATAATTACATTACCCAAGATTAAAGATAAGGAGAGAATCTTAGAAGCAGCAAGAGAAAAGGAGACAGTTACCTACAAAGGAGTTCCCATAAGACTATCAGCTGATTTCTCAGAAGAAACCTTGCAGGCAAGAAGGAGCTAGAAAGAAGTATTCCAAGTCATGAAAGGCAAGGACCTACATGCAAGATTACTCTATTCAGCAAAGTTTTCATTTAGAATGGAAGGGCAGATAAAGTGCTTCCCAGATAAGGTCAAGTGAAAGGAGTTCATAATCACCAAGCCCTTATTATAGGAAATGTTAAAGGGACATATCTAAGAAAAAGAAGATAAAAAATATGAACAGTAAAATTACAGCAAACTCACAGTTATTAACAACTGCACCTAAAACAAAAACAAAAACAAACTAAGGAAACAATTAGAAAAAGAACAGAACCACAGAAGTGGAGATCACGTGGAGGGTTATCAGTAGGAGAGTTGGAGGGGGAGAGAGGGAGAAAAGGTACAGAGAATAAGTAGCATAAATTGTAGGTAGAAAATAGACGGGGGGCGGGGGGTTAAGAATAGTGTAGGAAATGTAGAAGCCAAAAAATGTATATGTATGACCGATGGACATGATCTAAAGGTGGGGAATGTGGGTAGGAGAGGGTGTGCAGGGTGGAGGGGAGTGAAGGGGGGAATAGGACAACTGTAATAGCATCATCAATAAAATATATTTAAAATTTTTTTAAAGGTTGGTTTGAGATAAAAAGTTAAGACAGCTTTTAGGGTACATAACTGGCCATCTTCTCAGATTACCAGACACCTGAATGAAGAGCCCATAAAGGTTCAATCTTTGTCTCTATTTATTGGCTGGGTAGTAACAGGCAGCACCAATGCCAACTTTCTGGTTTGAAACCAGTTGCAACATCAACTTTAAAATCTAGTCTCATCTAAATATCTAAATCAGATATGGGCGAGACAAGTTCCCAGCAAATTCAAAACCTGTCAAGACAAATATCATTAGATGTTACAGTTTAATGCTCTACTTGCTGACCCATTGGGGTGGTAGTCCAGCCTTCAGGGCCCATTCTGGTAGCAATCCAACTCCTATGGCTCTCTACTGGGTGAGTTGACAGCCCACAGTTCTGGGTGGCCCCACCCCCAAGTCTCCAGGTGGCTACTGTCTGGCCTGTTGAAACTAGGCCTGATGATCTCTGAATTGCCTTCAGGACAATTCTTCCCTTGTCTTGAAGAATAGCACACATTCACAGCCAAACAGCTCTATGGTCCAGTCCCACAGGATCTGAGAAGTCCAATGGCCTCCCTCCCTTTAGTCTTGGGTGCATCCCTTTCAGTTCAAACTGGCAGTGTTTCTGATGAGGTTGTTGAGTAGATCTGAGGTTCATGCATACACAGTCTCGTTACCAAAGGGCTGTTGAGCCACACCCTTAGGGTACTCCTCAGAACAAGCTTTCTCATTTTTTCCAGTATGGACACACTGAGAATTTTCCAAATCTTTAAGTTCTGGTTCTTTTTTGCTTCACAATTGCTTCCTCAACTCATTTTCCTCTTTTTGCATTTTACTAATATGTATGCAGTCAGGAGGCACCATGCCTCTCCTTCAACACTTCACTTAGAAATCTTCTCAACTAAACTTGTAATTTCCTCTCTTACAAGTTCTACCTTCCAAAAACACCAGCATATGATCACAGCTCAGCCAAGCTCTTTGCCACTTGGTAATAAGAATTACCTTTTCTCCATTGTTTAATAACATGTTCTACATTCCCATCAGAGATTACACCAGAATAGCCTTTATAGTCCTATTTCCACCAACTTTCTGTTCATGACTATTTATATATTCTCTAAGATGGAAGCTTCCTCTACAGCTCTCTCTTCTTTCCTGAGCCCTCCCCTGTATGACCTTTATTCATTCATGGCAATCTTAATCTTGACTTTTTATACTATGAACCTTAAAATTCTCCCAGCCTATACCCATTACCCAGTTCCAAGGCTGTTTCCACATTTTTAGGTATTTCAACAGCACCCCACCTCACAGTATCAAATTCTGTTCTAGTCAGCTTGGTCTGCTCTAACAAAATGCCACAGCCCAGGTAATTTAAACTACACATATTCATAGGTTGGGAAGGTATTTTACAGGCTGGGGGTCTGAGATCAGGGTGCCAACATAGTTGGGTTCTGATGAGGACCCTCTTCCTGGCTTTCAGACGGCCACCTTCTCGCTGTGTGCTCACATGGCCTTTCCTTGGTGTATGCACACAGAGAGAACCATCAGACAGAAGGTAAGTAAAGAAACAGAAGACTTGAACAACACAGTGAACCAACTACATTAAACAAACATACATGAACACTACCCGACAACCACAGAATACACATTCTGCTGAGACATCTTTCTTGCTTCCTCTTTTTACAGGGGCACTAATCCCATCATGAAGGTCCTACTCTCACGACCACATCTAAACCTAATCATCTCCCATGGACCCACCTCCAAACACCATCACAGTGCAAATTAGAACATCAGCATATGAATATTGGGGCAGGCAAACTTTCAACTCATAACAGGTATCATGAAGATTTTACTATTATTCATTCACATACCAGTGAGATTTACTATCTTGAATTTCATAAGTTTAGTAAGCATTTACTGTTGTTCATCAATGAATAGCCACTTTATGTCACTGACCATTTTCCTACTGAGGTGTTCATTTTTAACTTTTTTATTTGTAAGAGCTCTGTATGGTGTAAGGGGACTACTATTTTGTTACATATAGAGTAAAATTTTACAGTTTGTTTTGCTTTTAAAATTTCTTAACAGTAATTAATTGATTAATTAATTAATTAATAATTATAATGTTTAATTTTATTAATTAAAAACTTCAATTTTTTAATATAATTGAGTTTTTCACCGTTTTTTCTTTATGGTTCCTGCTTTGGTATCATTCATAGAAACACCTGCACAACTTCATCATCATAGGAATTTAGCAAGGAATGTTAGTAATAACAATAGTAAAGTTACTAATAATCACTACCATTTACTGAGCATTTAGTATGTATCAGACACTCTACATACATTATTCTATTTAATCTTCACAACAAACCTATGAAGTAATTGTTCTCATTCTATAAATCAGGAAACTGAGGCTGAAGAGGACAAAGTAACTTGCCTATAAATCATGAAACTTGCAATGTTGGAACTGAGATTCAGTCACTTTGTTGTGCACAAACTCTGGACTTTGTAAACAGAGGAATAGCCCTGGGTCTGCTGTGCTGGCTGCTAGGTGTGTTACTTGTGGTACCCTTCACCCCTCTGAGTCTCGATGTCACCCATAAAATTTGCTTAACAGTAACTCCCTCATTGTGTTATTAAGGGATTTAAATGAGAAAAAATATGCAATGTGCCTGGCACGTACACACAGTCATAGAAGAGAGTCAGCCACCACCCTTCTTTGCTGGAGTACCTTAACTATTTCATCCTTTCTCTTTTTGTGTGGGGTGTGGTGGAAAGGCGGTGAGATAAAGGGCAAACCAGTGTAGCTGTGAGGGGCAGAGGTGGCAATTCCAGGTGTGGCCCATCTAAGTGAGGAAAAGAGTGAGGTGAAGCTTCACGTCTCTGAAGGAGACCCACCCCTGGGAGGGACTTAGGTGCTTCCAGCACAGGGAGGCACACCGTTCCAAGTGTGGGAGGCTGGGGCAGGGCTGGGTCAGGAAGATCTCTCCACTGCTCAGAAGCAGTCACTCTTGCTTGTGAGGAGGGCCCTGTGAGGTTGCTGCTCATCTTCCAGCTCTTGCGCTGCTGGCCAGGACACATACACGGAGACAATGGGAAACCTCGAGGGACACCTGCTGCCAGGGGTGATCTTCCTCCTCTACTCACTCTACTACTCACTGCTGGCGTCCTTGGCCTTGCTACGGGGACAGAGGTTTTTCAAGGCCCCTGTACCCCCAAGGGAGAAGCGAGGACACAGGTGGTGGAAGTGGGTACCTGTGGAAGGACTGGTGAAGATCATCATCAGCCTGACTGGCATTATGTCTGAGTTCTTCTACCCTCCAGGAGTCAACCGGCTGAAGATAGTAGACTGGGAGGACCCTCAGCGGCCATTCTTATTCTCAAACAACTGGCAGCATGTCACCATGTATGGGTTCTTCCTGCTCAGTGGCATAGTGGACGTTGTGAGCCAGTCATGCCAGGCACGGCAGAGCATGAAGCTGGAGCGAGCAGCTGAGGCCCTGGCCTGCTGTACACTGGCACTGCTGATGGCATCCCACGTTGAACACAAGGACGCCCTGGAGATCCGCCTGCACATTCTCTTCATAGTCCCTGCCTTCCTGGTCGGCCTGGTGCTCATCATCGAGGTGTGGGTCCCTGACCAGCCCTCACTCTGGTTCCTCAAGTCCTGGATGGGACTGGTGTTCAGCACCTGGCTGCTGCAGATCTGCTTGGTGCTGTATGTTCCTCCCTCTGGGAAGCCCTGGAGATCAGAAAATCACATGGACCTCGCCTTCCTCACCATCTTCTTCTGCTGGCACCTGGTTTTAGGGGCAGCTGTGCTGGCTGCTGTCTATGGCATCTGCAGCCTATGGCATCATCGCTGTTCCTCAGGGACAGAGGCCTCAGGTGCCAAATACCAGCCATGCCCCACAGGCTACAACAGTGAAGAGCTGGAGAAACTCAGGGCAGGGGCTGAGCTGCTGCATGAGGGTGTCTAGGTTTAGAATCTGTGTTTGTTTTCACTTTTTGTAATAAAAGTTTTGAGGTTGCCCATTGAGTGCATAGCATGGGGCCTGCAATGTGGCTTTTCATCACAGTAATCATCTTCCTTGTTCCTAAATAAACCATCAGGCTCCTAGCAGCAATTTTGCCACCAACTGGATCTCTCCAGGTCTGTCTCTTTCCTGTCACATTCCTATCTCTATCCTGTCTCTTTCCTATTCACGATGGTTCCTTGCCATTTGCTTACATGAAGTGGAAGAAGGAGCAGTGCTTTTCTCTGACAGCTTTTGGGATCCAAGAGGAGAAAATGAAAAGAGAAAACAGAGGTAGATAGAGTATCACTGGGGACCTGAAGAGGGTTCTGTCCATCTGAGGCAAGGCTGGCTGTGTGTGTGTGTACGTGCATGTGTGTGTGTGTGTGTCTGCAGCTGAAGTGCTTCACACAGTGTGTGTGTGAAAGAGGGGATCCAGTTTTGCATAAAGGTGAGGGCTTCCGTTTTCTTTATTACTCCCTGTTCTTTGTTTACACTAAGTGTAGCAGGATTAAGAACTTGTTTTGTTGTTGTTTTTTAATCTAAACTGAATGAAGCTACTTCTGCTTCAGAGGGAGTAAGGCAGGAGGGGAAAGAAGTAGCAGATAATTTAGCAGAGAATTATGTCTGGGGAGAAAGGAGGCAAGAGAGAAATTCTCAAAAGTGGTTGTAAGAAATGAGAATCATACTTATATAATTTTGCTTGTTTGTTTTCTGCTGTGATATAAAACAACTCCAGTGTTCCTCCTTGTTCAGTAAAGTCTATGATACACATAAGTCTTGTGTGAGTGATTCTCGGGCAAGATCAATGAAAGAGCCCTGATTGCAGTTGGTGAGAGCAGAAGGGAAGGAGCTGCCATGAAACATGGGGTGCAGATGAGCCCAGTGGTTCTGAAGGTGCAGGAACTCAGAGCTGAGAGGGACCCTGAGCATGTCAGCCCCCTGGAGTCTGCAGAAAATTCATCTAGTCATTGAGCTTCTCCCAGAATGAGCAGAGGAGGTGTTGGTAAATCATATGCTCAGTGAAAAACATGAAAAGGAAAGAATCGAAAACTACGTATCCCTGGGCACAATCAGAGAGCCACTGCTTGGAGTAGCATGAGTCTGCTTCTGTGGGGGGGATACACTCAGCATTTGGAAGTCTGAAGAGGCAGGAAGAAGGGAGGAGATGCTGTCTGCTGTCCACAATGTGGGAAAGTGCCACAGAGGAAAGAACCCACTCATGAAGCAGCTGCAGTCGTGCCCCTTTTCTTGCAGTCAGAATTGCTCTTCACAGAGACAGACAAGCTTCAGAAAATATTGAGAGGCACTTACATTTGCATTTACATTTGCAGGGTGGAACACAAGACAGGTTACACATTGTCATCTAAAATATCCCTGCACATTCCCTAAAGAAACACTGTGCAAATAAGCCCTGGAGACTCTGAGACAAGGGGTTAGGAGAGAGAAGGGGAGCAAAGGAAGGGATGGAAATGGGACAAGGATCTGGCAACTCACACTGGCAGGGCTTGGAGGGAAGGGATGCTCTGGATCGGGAAGAGGAGAAATGTATCTTTCTCCAGCAGCTGGAACCACGCCAGCAACCCAGCTAAGGAGAAGGCACTCCCTTCTTTCTGTCCCTGCCCTTAAAAGCCCAGAAGTGGAGCCAGGTTTACCCTGCAGCTAATACAACTTCAGCTTCAGAGCCCCTCTCTTTACATCTTCCCTCCAAAGCCCTGCGAGGGGCCATCCCAAGGCATTCATAGGATCACATATCACCGAAAATTGCAAAAGTAAGTATTTCTGTGTTCTTTTTTTCTAACTGGAGACTTCACATTGTATAAACTTAAGATTCCACAAAATCTGTCATGTGTCTGCCCCCAAGGCTTAAGACAGGTTTACTTTCAGGAAGCCTTGTGATAAGCACTTCTCTTCCTCTGTTAGTGGAACCCTCTTTAGTCAAGGATAGTGTAAGACTCTTCCTCAACTTGGAAACAAGAAGCTTAAAATGCTAATGACATCGCACACTGGAGGAAAACCACCTACTAAAGGATAATCTTAGCCAACAACCACAAATGAGTGGCATCAGATGCTGAGCCTGATTTAATAAGGAGGAGTTAGAGGTGCAGAAGGCTAATGGCTGGGGGTGGAGAGGAAGCAATTTACAGAGGTGGGTCCTGTTGATCTTCATTTGTGCTATGCCAAGGAGTTTATGTCCCTTGCATATAGAAAAACAGATCCCATAGCCTGTGAACACAGACATTTTAAGGGACTGGCTCATGAGACTGTGAGGGTAGGCCCATAGGCCAGAGACCCAGAGAAGAGCTGATGCTGCCACCTTGAGTCTAAAGGCAGCTTGGAGGCAGAATTCCTTCTTCCTCAAGGCACCTCAGTCTTTTCTTTTAAGCCTTTATCTGATTGGATGAGGCCCCCTCACATCATGGAGGATAATCTGCTTCATCAAAGTCTACTGACCTAAGTGTTAAGCACATCAAAAAACATACCTTCATAGCAACATTTAGTCTGGTGTTTGACCAAGCAACAGGGTACCACAGCCTAGCCTAACAAAGGCATAAAATCAACCACCATACTCCACATATTGGAACATGGCCACTCAAACACGATTATCAACTGAGTTTGTCATGATCTTTGGAAACGTTACAAATTAATCATTAGTAAGGGTAATTTGTAAGAGGTAACTTTATTTTAAAGGAACTTCATCATTATAGGTCCTGATTGCATTGTGAGTGTGACTATATAATGTTATATGGACTTCTTTCCTTCCCTGTTCCCTCTAGAACAGAGATAGAGTGATGGGTGGGCAGGTAGGTGACACATTTTTAAAGACTAAAAAAATATTTAGCGAGTTTTGGGGGTATTATTCATGTTATGCATTCTAAACATCTTAGAAAACACCAAAGACTACTTTAAAGTATTTTGAAATCTACCATAATGCCCTTTCCCAGAATGAGTTACTTCATGGGAAAACCACGGGGTGGGACATCCTTCAACCACAGAATGGATGATAGTGTTTGTCTATCAGAGAAGAGGCCTTCCCTGGTGATGAGGACTGATGTGCTTGATGGTTAAGGCATGGGTGACTAAAGAGGTTTGGAGGTGAAGGTCACTGGAGATGAAGTAATCCAGAACTGGGAATCTAGTGTTGTGGAAGGAGCTAGGCAAGGATAATGACATGTCTGGGAAGATGGCAACCTTGGGCTGGAAGAGCACCCCCACAACCCCGTCCTTAGTGAGTTCAGGTGGAGAGTGGGGTAGGAGAGACAACCGAAGGCATCAAGGAGAGCCAGGAGACAGAAGATGTAAACGGCATGAGCTTTGAAGTGATCAGGGTTAAGCAGAAATGGTAATACCTACCCCACAGAGGTATGGTGAAAAGTATATGAGGCATCGCATAATCAACACAAAACAAAGGAAGATGTACCTTAGATGCTAATAAATATTAATACAAGAGACTGAACATACAAATGGGCAGTGTCCAGACCATATATAAGGATAAAACTCTGACCCACAGTCCATAGCAAGCAGCCCAGGAAACCAACCCAGTGTCTACAGTAATCAGCCCAGGAAGCCGGCCTGCTCTCTGTAAGTCAGACTTGCAGAAGGTCAGTTAGCTAGCTCTAGTAACCAGTCCAGGAAACCAAACAATAACCCCTGTAACAGTTGGCCTCAAATGGGCAGGAGTTGATTAATATCTAACAGCTTCCCTAGTTTTTGTCCATGATTCCAACTTAGGACCAACCATAGAGAGCCAGCTGTGCACCCCTCAACAAATCAAGTGGGTTACCCCCTTCTAGTTAGCCAGCTTACAGCTTCCCCATGCCAAAAGCTTCCGTCAGGGCACACCTGACGTCTTCCTTCTTTCTACTATGAAACTTTTCCACTCCCCTGCCTGCCTTGAGTCTGCCAAAAAGAAAATGATGGTGGCCAACTCCCTTGTTATACTCTAAATAGATAAGCTTTGTTTGTTTCCTTTGGTTGGTCTTCATTTATTTCCACATGTTCGATTCTTTAACTTATTCATGTAGGCAGGTACACAATATTTACTGAGCATCTACTATATTCCACACTCCATGCTAGGCCCTGAGGCCAGTGCTAGCATGCTAGGTTGGCAGACTGAGAGAGGGGTGAGATGCTGGGGAGCTGAGGAGGAAAGTTACTGCAATCACTGAGAAGATGAAAAACAGGACATGGGGCTGGAGGAGAAGAGATGAATTCTGAATGGAGACAGAAAGTTTGAGGTGTTCTGGAAGTGGGTGGCTGTATAAGTCTGGAGCTGAAGAGAAAGGGATGGGTAGAGAGGGGAATCTGGGGTCCTAAGTGATCATCAAAGCCTCCTCAGGTCACTCAGGGGTGGGTTAGCTCGCCTAGGGAGAGGTCCAGGAACAGAACTCTGAGAGGCACCACATCTACCTGGGAAAAGAAGAGAGGCACCTGTAAAGCAGACCATTAAAAAGCAGTCAGGGAGGAAGGAGGAAAACCAAGTTGTTGTAACACAGAAACCAAATACTGCTATCGTTCCAAGAAAGGGAGTAGCCAACAATCAAAAGCAAAGCTTTGTTTCCTCCTATTGCTTCCTTTCCTTCCCCTCCCAGTGAAGGATGGCCCCCAGGACAGTGGGAGGGAATTTATTCTCCCAAGACTAGTGGAACCAGTCCTGCATGCCGCACATGGTTGCCCAAGCAGCACCAAGGAAGTTCCCATGTAGTACCAGTCATAAAGTAAAACTGCATGATGAAAGAATAGGAAGAAATGACTGTGCTTAAGTGGAACTGAGACGTTAATTGGAGGGCTACAATGAGCGTTAGTCCAGTTTGATGTGTGTACATTACATCGGTAGCTATCTGGTTCAATAGCCCTGGTTACTGAGTGCCTACCATATGGCAGGTGGAAACTGAAATCAAATTTCCTCTCTCTTCACTGGCCTGCGATTACAAAAGGGACTACAGGAAGGATAATGATCCGTATTTCAAGGTCCTCCCTCTCCTTAAAGCCACACCCGAGTATCCCTCCAAGTCCTCACAAGCCTCTCTCCCTCTCTCAATCTTTCTCTCTCTCTTTAGTTTACCTCTTTCTTCTCCTTGCTCTTCCTTTTCCTCTTCTCTCCCTCCTCCTTCTCTTCCTCTCTCATCTTCATTCCCCACCCTCTACACACCCAACCACCTACAGCTCTGGGCTTCCTTCTGGCATCCAGGAGAATCCAGAGAGCACCCATCTCCCTCCCTCACTGCCTATGGTGTTTTTGGTAATGAGACAGCTTTCTTCTCCACTTTGCAGTTATTATTTTGAAGACAATGAGCAGAGCACAGGCTCAACCTGGAGAACGTCCTTCTCCCCGACCCGCGCACCCGTGCCCCTGGCAGCCCCTCTCTCCAGGGATACAGTTCCCAAGAACCAGTCTCCAGGAGACCGAGTGCACAAGCATGCTCTCTGGAAGGCAGCATCCTCACTGTCCTGTGTATCATCCTATCATGGTCCCATCACAGAATCTAGGAGCATAGACCTTGGGAGACTAGTGTGGGCAGAACCTTGACTTACTTTTTTTGTACTTCTGATTGCATTGCCATGTAAAGAAAGAATACAGGTAATATGCTTGATTTTAAAAAATAAAATCTAAAAAACAAGTTTGCCAAGGGCACAGAACTAGCCACTAAGCTGTGAGGATGCAAGGAGCCCAATACTACCTAGCTGTGCCCACTACACCCTACTGCCACCCTCTTGGTTCAGTGACTCTGGCCTGAAACTGGCCGGGGTGCC